ATCGGCCCCCCAATAATCCCTCTTAATTGTCCATGATGGCAGGTTCCGTCAGGGGCCATTGGCCTTGATTGTCAGTCCCCCCCCCGCTTGGGTTGGTCCCTCCCCATTACGTGCAAGCCCGAGGGTCCTGTGCTGCGCAGCGATCTTGTTTCGCTGCCTGCGGCCCCGCTCATTGTTGGCTCGCGCCGTTATCAGTGTAGAGTTAAAACTTCCGTTGCGGTTTTCCTGTTTGGCTGGGCGCAGGTGGCCCGTTAATTAGCGGCGCTTTCAGTTCCTCTTTCCCTCGCTAGCTGCCGCCGGTGGAGTTCGCGTGGTCTGGCTTTGAGCTTCCCCGAAGCCCCGTGCTGACCGAACCTGACAGTCATTAGGTCAGGACGGTGCCATCATTAGAGGAGGACCTCACACTTCTCCTGCCCTGCCGCCCTCGCCTTTGCTTCAGCTCCGCCACCCACCTGTCTTCCCCACATCTCTGCCCACTTGGCTGCCCTGCACTCTGCCACATGCCCCTGCTGCCTGCCGCTGCCTGCAGCTGATCTTCGCTGTCTTCCTTCTGCTGCTGGCCTGGCATCTGGGCGCTGGGGAAGGGTGCAGCCCTGGGATGCACGCGGTGAGCACGGCAGGGCAGCAGAGCCTCATCTGCCAAAGGAAGCTTGCCAGGCCCGGCCAGGTAGGAAGCAGCAGGACGGTGAGGCGCGGCGCTGTCTGTTGCCGGGCGAGGCAGGAGAGCGGTGGTGGCTCCCCGGGCGAAGACGGAGGCTGTGTGGAAGGCACGGCACTGTTTGGGGTGGCGGCAGAGCAGGAGAAAGCGGAGGGACGCGGCTTCCCAGAGGCACCGTGCGCACGCTGCAGCTCGTGTTGGAAGCGCTCCTGGAAAACCGGCCTGTGGGCTTCAGCGAGGGGCGGAGGCGAGCCCAGCACCGGCAGAGCCTGCCCACGGGCCCTCTGCTCGCTCTCGGCCCAGCCTTCCCCTGCAAAGCCTCGCGAAGGGCCAGCAACTTCCACTGCTGTGCTTGCGTTGGCCGGCCTGCCCCGTGGGCTTAAGTCCCCCGGCAAATCTCTCGCCCTCTCTGTCTCCAGCTAGGGCAGCGTTTCGCATCCATTACAATTCCCAGGCCATTGCTGGGCGTTCTAGGAAATTAATTCCGCATCTCAGGCTGGGAAACATGGGAACAGCGAGGGCGGCCCAGCTGCCTTTCTGAAGGGCAAGGCTTTTCCCACGTGTAGGGATGGGCAGGGGCTTTTCTAGAGCAGGGCTCGAGAAGGCGGTGGTGCTGTTCTCACAGGAGGGCTCTTGGCTCAGCTTTCCAGGCTGGGGTGGGGAGGGCGGTCCCGGGAAGACCCATGGGCTGGGTTCACGCCACCCTCTTAGCCCTGAACCCAGGAATGCCAGCGGGGAGAAGCCTTTGTGCCCGTGTCAGCTGGGGCGAGTGAAACTTTGTGTGGAACCGTCACCTGGGGGGATCCAGGGGGAGGCTCCTCTGCGGATGGTTCTGCTTGCCGGGGCAGGGCAGGGTTGAGTCCTCTCCTGCTTCTCTCTGCAGATTGCTACCACGCGGAAGCTGACGGTCCACCTGAGACCCCCGGCCACTTGCGACCTGGAAATCGGCCTGCAGGGCATCAAGCTGATCCTGACCGTCAATGAGTACAGCCAGGAGGAAGAGGTGAGGGTCTGGCGTGGTTTCTCCAGGCAGCGAGCGGGGAGGGGAGGGGAGGGCTGCCCTCGGAAAGGGCATGGGAGACCCCCGGGGTGACTCCCGAGTAGGATCCAGCCTTGTGCAGCTGCAGGCTCAAGTCTGCCTTGACTTCCGTGCGTGGAAACTCTGTGCTCACCAGCTCAAAGGGAAGAGCTGGTCACTGCAGGCCGAGTTTGGTTTGTATTAATTCTGGCTGGGGAAATTGATGGGTTGAATGTGTTGTGCAAACTCTGTTCAATTAAACCCAAAAGCTAGTTGGCTCGTTAATCAGGTGAAGTGGGTTGCATGATGGCCTGGAACAAGGCCAGTAGGACCAGGCAGGGAGGTTGGTGCAGCCATTATGCTCCAACTGGCAGGACGGCGGGATGAGACTCAGAGCGATGCCAGTCGCCATGCAACCGGTGAGCCCGAGACCCGTTCCTGGGAGAGAAGGGGGAAAGCGTGTTAGGGGATGGCCTGCCAGCAGCTCTGTGCCCTCAGTCACCGATGGCCTGGATTGCTCTCTCTCTGCCGCCTCTTTGCCCTCGGTGTTGCAGCTGGCAGAGGCAGGGCCTGTGCCCAGAACCTTGGGGCCCATTTGGAGGCCTGCAGACGCATGGCAGGGCTGGAGCAGCTGGCGGTGGAGCACCCCACTTCCAGGCCAAGCTCCAGGGATCGCAGGGGGATGGGGCGAGGGGGCCAGGTCAGGTCAGGGTAGGCAGGCAGCGACTCTGGAAATGGCTGCGGGAGCCATTCCCGCCCGGGCCGTGGGGTTGGCAGAGGACCCGGCTGCCTCA